ATGTGTTTCATAACGTAATTTTGTTTTAATTTGTTCATCCCTTACATTTGTATATTGTAAAATACGTTCAACTAAAACTTGATCTTTTTTTTGCCATGTACGTTGTATATCAACAATCGATTGTCCACTTCGCTGTGTTTGCTCTTTTAATTGTTGATATTTTAACAGCTTATCATTTTGTTCTTGTTTCGATTTTTTTATTTGTTGATCATAGTCCATGCATTCTTTCGTATATCGTTAACAGACTCCAGTTAATTCTTTGATTTCATTATCCAATATTTGTTGTTGTTCCTTACGTGTTTTAGTTAATTCTGTCCAATATTTTTTGATCCATTCCTAACTCACTATCACCGATTGTTAATGGTACAAAGGAATCTTTCATTTTATCAAACAGACCATCATCAGAAAAACCTTCATCTTGTAATTCTGTAAATGATCGGTCTACACAGTCAGCATTTAATTTTGATACAGTCGAAAGTATTCGTCCAATTTCATCTTGTAGAATATGATGGAAATATAATTTAACCATACGTAAATTGGCTAATAATTCTGATTCGGAATAATTACCTATAAAATCAGATATTGGTTTTAATGTAGCAAGCTGTGACTTGATAGTTACCTTTTTGTTGTGCTTTGGGTTGTTGTCGAGATTTTTGATTATCTGTTGATTGCTTTTCTCTATCCACATAGGATTTGATTGTTTTAACTGCATTCATATGTAATTCTTTTGTTTTATTCCAGTCATCGTATTTTAAATTTGTTAAATGTGAGCATGTTTTTATATCTTCTTTCTTTAATGCAGCTATCCATTAATTTCTATTTCACATATATCATGTATAAAACATTCAAGTGATTCGGTATTTGGTCGTTCATTTACTACCGTTGTTGTATCATCGGTATTATTTGTACTATCAACGATTCTGTAATAAATCTCAGCATCATTATTCAATCGCCACCTTTGTGGGAATTGTTGATTATTTTTACCATCATAAACTACTAATAATAAGTTGAATATACCACGAAAATTATCAAATTACCATGTACTAAAGTCATCCGTAATACGAACAGGATCAATTAGATTTATTTTCGAATGACATCGACCAAAATCAACGACGCCTTTTTCTTTCATTTGATGTTGTACAGTAGAAGAATAAGTTTAAAATGCTAATGTGCAATTCTTTTCAGGTCAAAGAACGGTTATTAAACTCAAAGAATTCCTATCATTTCTCAGAAAAATGTGTACACTATAGATGAACACGAAGTTTCTAGTCCCGGTTTCGAATTCACATACTACAGAGAAGAAGTGCTTCTTAACATTTGGAAAGCTTCCGTAAATTTGCTTTTCTGCTGGACAAATTTCGAAAATTCCCTGTTTTTAGAAAACGGTACATTGATATATATGTGTCTCTAGCGGGTTTCTCGTGTTTCTGAGAAGTTCGAATATACTGGGAATTCGTCGTTTCGCTGTGTGCAGAACTATTAAGATCGTCGTGTAAGACAATCCTATGAAAGCACTTACTTCTGAATAATATATTTTTTGTTTCTAATCGTACCATTCGAATTCAATGAAAATCTTAGTTCTGCATAAGTTATGAATAAACTGAGCGATTCGTTCTGATAGTTTTTTCCAATCTTGGACACTACTAAAGTGTTGATACTAACTAGTTAGAGTCGACTGAGATAATAAATACGATATTCGAGAAAGTACATACTTGTTTCAGAATCGTCAAATAATAAACAAGTTAACTTGAGTGATGAAACTTTGCATCAAAAGCCATGTAGTCATGGAGGGAAATGTAATGAATTACAAAATGCTCAGCATTGTGGTGATTATTCGCATCCATCTCTTTGTCCGTCGACGAACAGTATGACACCCGGCAAACTATTGATCGATGAAGATCACGTGCTCTGGTTCGTACATGGAACAAATTGTCCGTTTGGTGGTGAATGTAAGCTTTTGATCGAGGACCCAATCCATTCGAATGAATTTGAACATCCACAGGTTTGTCACGAAGATGGTCAGCGCAGCAATTTGAGTTCTGAACATTTGAAAGCTTTCCGACACGTACCCCTATGTAGATACGGTGTGGAATGTGTCGATTTTAATAGAGGAACAGCGAGTAGTCATTGTAAAGAATTCCGTCACTGTAAACCGATGTGTCGTCAAGGTCATTTTTGTGTTCGTTTTCATGATCAAAAACACATGACTGAAGAAAGTCATCCATTTCAACCGCCTTGTCCGTTCACTCCATTTTATTGTCGACATCATACTTTATTATCAGAAGTCAAAAATGTTCAGTCCCTTCCTTCCGAAACCCAAAATCACTACCTTCATTTTTCACACATATGCCGATACGGTCGTAACTGTCATGAAGCATCGGAACTACATTGGAAAAAAACAATTCACATCACACGAAATCTTTGTCCTTATGGGAATCAATGCTCGAAAACCACTCAAGAAGATCATTTGAACTCATTTTCTCATCCAAACATTGCGGATATTCGTCGTTTATGCGTTAATCCAGCATACGAGTGTCCAAATCGGCGAACGCATGACCACATAATACGATATCGACACAATGGTAACTTTGATCGTAGTGGCGTTATTCGCTATTTTGGATTGAATATTGAGACAAATTTTGTTAAAAATCAAGCATTAATTATTGCAGCGATCAACGATTATAATAAAAAGCCACTAACAAAAATCCCGCCAGAAATCCTCAAATGAATTCGAGGATTACAACCCGTACATCAATGTTCAAAAGTCGTTTTTGAATCCATACTTGTACATGGCCATGTCATGTCACGTGAACATATAAAACATTTACTAAAACCTCAATTTGTAGCCCAGGCTGTTCAGCAACATAGACGTGTTCAACAAATCTTCGATCGACACAAGATTCAAACAATAGAGGATCGAGCAAAAGAGTATATTCGAGCAATTGTGAATCAGTATTCTTGGTCCACATCTGGGTCATAATTTTGGAGATATAGTTCTCGTTTTCAAACATGAAGTGAAGCACCGTCCGGATGCGAATTTCTCCATACAAGCAGCAATATCGTATTCAAGTGGACGTACTTTCAAACATCGACCGTGGATTAAAGATTCAAATACAGCCGAAGGTCGCGTTAAACAATTCCATAAGTCAAAGTTGCACTGTTCGGTGCCGGGCTATGAATATGCGGCAGCAGTAGAGATGATCACTACAGTGGCGACGAAGAAAAAGGTGACAGATGTTGATCTGAAAGCAATCTTGAAATATTGGACAACTGTAGACTCACATCAAGTGTTCGAAGGCCATTTACCTCAATTGATTCCTCTTGACTATATCGAGGAAGTGTACATTCCAAAAACTCTGTTCGCATCACTAACACCAGCAACACAATAATCCGCTAAAGCTATTTTTCGTATAATGTCGGTCGCCGCCAAAGTTTATAACAAAATCCTCTTAAATAGAATACGAGATCCTATCGATAAGATTCTTAGAGGGAACCAAGCCGGGTTCCGAAGAGGAAGAAGCTGTACAGACCAAGTGCATATCGTTCGAAGACTA